AGAGCCAGGTGGATCTCTGTGAGTTTGAGGCCAGCCTGGTCTACAGAGCAAGATCCAGGACAGGCACCAAAACTACACAGAGAAACCCTGTCTCGGAAAAAAAAAAAATCAATCAGTCAATAAAAAGAAGAAAGAATAACCTTCTGGTAACAATTATAGATGGAGACTTGGTTTATGGGGACCAGTGAGGAAGTCACTACAGTAATCCAGATGGAGCTAAAGTATGAGCATTTAAGTATCTGGTATGCTAAAGTCTTAATGTAGAATGTCTACATTGGTAGCATTAAGAAAAACACACAAAACAGGGGGTGGGATCCAAAGGACTCTTTCAAGAAAATGAGTATAGGATGATGATTCATGGGAGTAATGTCACTTACTGAGATGAATACAGAAAGACTGGATGTGAAAAGAGGATGAGGAGGATGAGTGAGATGCCAGTTGCGTGTATTCATGGTAACAGAACACTGGACTTGCCATCCATAGATATTTTGGGATGTTCAGTATGAGAATGTGGAGCTCAGAGGAGTGGCAGGATTATGGGATTATGGGGTTGGTCTCAAGAGTTCCTGGTTTGCTTTTGGTGTAGGGAAGAAGAAATCTGCATACAAAAGCTAGTCAAGCGAGAGACGGGGCTGAGTCCTCCGTGGTGGCCCATGTAAGCAGGTGTCAGGAACAAAAAATGTGTTCCTCTACAGCGCCCTGCTCAAGTTCCTGTGACTTGACTCATGTCTTGTTCCGAAGAGAGGTGGATGGCAGACTGTGACGGCGGCATACTGTGGTGGCCCATCTCGCTTGTCAGTTTAATTGGTACTAATTCTCCTCTTCAGGGAATGGTTTGTCAACATGAGGGCATCTTAGGAGTGAGAATTTTCCATACAAATGAAGGCACAGGGGTGGGAGAGCAGAGGGAAGTTTGGGGGAAGACTATACACATAGAACGTGTGTTGAATCATGGATGTCTTGTATACATAACACACTGTATCTTGTTCTGGATTTAAATGCAGGAAACCTGCGTGTCTTGGTAGTCAATGACAATGAATGATAACTTCTAGTAAATTTACTCTTTAGAATTCCCAGGGCCTGGGTGGAGGTCTTTCGTTATGGTGAAGTTCCTCAGGGATGCTGGGAGGGGGAGGTAGGCTTTTCCCACTGAGTCCTGCTTTTCCTTTCCACAGTCAGAAACGTCACACATTGGGTCATACTCTGGAATTCTGTAGCATTGGGTACATGCTACTGATTGGAGTCCTTTGGAAAATGGTTCCTAAAACACCCACTGGTCTGGTTTGGCTGTGAGATTCTGTCCCTACTTAGATATTGCATTCTAGTGGCTCAAGATTACGAGCTGCTATTTCTTAAAGTTTATGTGTTGCATGTATGACATTGATTTGAACAGTGGTGATAGGATTACATCCCCAGAAACATGGCACTACGTAAAAGCAAAGTTTCCATTAACACCAAGCGTGGCAGCCAGACTTCAGCATCCCTGTGTCCCCCAGGGTTTGGCTGTTGTGTTGTGAAATGCCAACATGTCCTGCCTAACAAGTTTCCCCCTAGCAAGTCTGTGAGTAAAGGAAAGTGATCCACCGCTGAGCATGTCTCAATAAAACACCCCTGTCTGCTTCAGCAACAAAACAAGACAAGTCTGCTGTGGGAAGGGCAGGCCGCTCTGTTCTGATGAGTCACATTCCTGCGCCGTTTATTGTCTGCACTGGAGAAGTATTGAGAAAAAAAAAAATGTGAAGTGTGCATTTCAGTGGAACAGTTATGGTAGAAATACATCCCTTTCAGCCAGGTTTCTAGGCATTTCCTAGAAATGAATGTGTGGCAAAGCGAATAATAGCAGACAGTGGTGAATGAATGCTTGCTGCGTACCAAGCATTGTTCCGGGCTTTCCGTATGTATCATCTCACTTAGAAGACACATCTCAGCCCTGTGGTTTGGGCAGTCTCCGTTCAGGAGACCCAGGGGAGGGTAAAAACTTACTTAAAAGGCACAGAACTAGTAATGGGCAGGGCCAACACTTGAACCCAGGCAGATCCTCCATGTTTTATTTACCCTAAGCTCAAGCAAGCCCCATCCACCACATGAAATGCTTTGCCACAAGGCTTATTTAAGCAGGGACCACCCCTCTCATTTGCATTGTTTGGTGTGTCCAGCTTGATGATTTAGTCTTCCAAGTTTAAAATTGCACTGTATTATATCTGCATGTGATTCGGATGAAAAGAATTCGACCCTAGAAGCCCCCCTACCCCCATTTCATCCTATCTGCAGTTTGTAGCAACACTGAAGACATTTTTATTCTTTGTCTCCAAATTAGCCCTGCACAACACAGAGAACAGTACGTGTGTGTGTGTGTGTGTGTGTGTGTGTGTGTGTGTGTGTGTGTGTGTGTGTCCCCTTTCCTTCTGAATGAAATTGTTTCTCACGGAGCCCACCGCAGACATACTCAGAGAAGGCTGCTGCCTGCAATCCACCCGGCAACGGTGGAGCAGGTGACGCTGCGTGTGCCCAGCCTCTCTGGAAGTGTCTGCACAGATGTGTACCGTTTCCACTCCCTCTGCCTGCCTTCAGATTCCTGGAGCCAACACCCACCCACTCTGACAGCATCTCTCTCTCTCTCTCCCCTCTCTCTCTTCATTTTCAAGGAGAAAAGAAAGAGGCAGACAGAAATAGAAGGAAAGAGACGACAGCTTGACGAACAAGTCCTGCTGCTGCAGCATTCCAAGGTAAGCAGCCCAGGAACCTGGGCGTTCGTTCGTTATTAGCCCTGCGGACCACACTTCCCAGAGGCGGGCAGAGTCTGCCCTGCCGTGGAGGCGTGGAGGCGCAGCGCTGCCTGAACCAGCCTGTTCCGAGCAACCAGGAGAGTCTCTTGGCTTTTCTTGTAATCTTTCTCAGATTCAGGCATCCTTAGAGCATTCTGATTTCCGCAGGCATGCGATTCCACTGCTCCTGAGCGACGCGGTAGATTATATATAGAAACTGGATGTGAATATTCCCCACGGTCCCACGTTGTTTCTCCTGTGTGTTTTGTTCGGAGGCTCCAAAAGCTGCACTTCACATAATGGACTTTTTGGAAATGAAAAAAAAAAATCTTTCTTGCTGGGAAGTGGGGGTAGGGGAAGAAATGAGACCGTGTGATCTGATAAAAGGACGACACTGCATGTTTCAGATGGTTCATCTATTTTTATTTTGACTTTACAACGTTAGCAATGTCCTGCTAGAACGTGTGATTGGTCAAACATGGCTTTCAAATGATTTGACTTGGTTCGGTGTCTGATGTACCTTATTAAAAAGAGAGAGGGAAAGGGGATTGTTGTGATATTTTCCCCCTTTAAAACAATGCACTTAAGCACCGTAATTGATGACAGTAGCAGAGACAGCTCCGTCACTGTCACGGACGCCCCACCAGTGCCTGAATGTTGCTTTCTGTGTGTTCGGATAATAATGTGGCCATGTCCATGGACCAGCCGGGAGTTGTTGCTTGCCTTTGACTGTTCCTGACCTTTTTTTGTTTGTTTTTTAAGGAAAGCCTCCCGCTGGCCTCAAGTTGCCATGACTTATGTGTGCAGAATTGCTTTTCTCGGAGGACTGGTTGGGAGGGGGCCGCTCATGGGGTGCTGCCATGTGCGCATTATCAGGACTCTTTGAAACAGAGTGGGCCTGTGCTCTTGCATGTCTCGTTCTCTGGAAAACCAGGTTGTGCTAAAAGAATCCTCAGAGTGAGAATCATGAGCAAGCTGGCTCATAATTTCAAAGAGCAGTCTGACCTAGATCTGCTCCGCATACTTATGAGTTCACCATGAACTTTAACCAGAGACATGTGTTCTAGAGGAAGAAAAGGCAGCATGGTGCTGGTTGTCCATTTCTGTCTGTCTTGTCCCTCCATCTCTAGCCTGTTCTGGTAGTAGCTCGCACTGTATTCAGATGCTGTCCCTGTCTCCTGACAACATTCCCTCCCGGGGGAGGACTGGGGCTAAAATTAGGATCATCTTTCTATGGAGGCGGGGCTTACAAACACTAACAAGATTGCACAAGGCCAATCTGGAGAGAGCAGAGTCTCTGGCCCAGAGGGAGGCAATTCACCCACTGTGTAAGAAAGATGTACACTAAGAACTCAGTGAATTATGGGCTAAAAGGAGAACTTCCTGATAAGAGTGGATGCTTCGGCCAGCAGTCTCTCTCCTCCCAGCCTCAGCACAGCACAATGCCTCTGTGTTCCTTAATTCGAAGTCAGAGGGTGGACCATGTTTCCTTCTTCCCCCTTGTCGTTATTCTGAGTGCCAGATAAGATGCCAGGGACTCGTTTATTGCTGGTGTCCAGCATAGTCTTACACTGTTTTGTTCATATGGCATCTATCCATTTCTCATCTTCCCATCCAGTTTAAAGAAACAATAGAACTTCATTTTATGTGAGGGAGTACTGGGGTTCCCTAAGGGACTTGGCAACATGGGCATCAGGCAGTTTCTGAGTCTGGCTATGAAAGGTACATGCAACACTTGCGTCATGGTGATCTTGAAACAGGATGGGAAGGGCTGAAGGTGATTGTTAGTTTAGTAAGCGGAGACCAATGCATTGCCTTTTCCTCTCTTGGAGGAAAGCTTGTGTAGAATGAGGATGGATTGCTAGCCTTGAAAACTAAAAAGGAAAGACCCAAAGCTCCAAAGGTGGCAGTGTGCATCAGGTACCAGCCAGAGGAGTATCCCATTTCTATACACTGGGGAAGCAGGGATATTGATAAAGCAAGGAGAGGCCTTGCTGTGCCCATGTAAAGCAGCTATGATTCCATCTCCCTTTGTTCTAAGCTCAGCCTTCCTAAAGTAGCTATCTGATTTCCATAGAAGGAAGAGGGTACCTGACACAGGGACAATCACTTCAGTTACCAGAAGAGAGTGAGTTCCACTTTAAATGAACTGACCATTGACTAAACTGAGTAGAGAGTCATCTTTCCGACCATCCATCAGTTGCCAGCTTGGTGGTTAGTCCCTAGGTGGAGGATCATGTGCTGAGGTTGTACTCCTTCCTGTGTGAACCGTTCAGAGGAGAGCAGCTAGCTTCCTCCCACATCCCAGAAGCCTCCACACCCTCCCATCCACTCAGTAATACTCACTGTTGCTTTTAAGTACCTAGCATGTGCCTGGGACTTTAAATATCAACTCTCAATAATCATCACGAGGTAGGTGTCAATCTCCCCATCTCACAGTCTGCAAACAAACTCAGGAGGCAAGGAATTTGCTCAGGAGCACACAGTCTGCTAAGCGAGGAAGCCTAAGTTGAAATCTAGGGTGGGGTCTGTTTCTGTGGACAAGGCTCTTCCCAGGACACTGTTCTCTTTGAAGGGATGGTCCCTTTTAGGTGATTTGTCTAGATGGGTGCCAGTTGCCATCACCACTGCCTCTCCGGCTCTCAGTATATTTTCACAGGCTACGGAAGATTTAGACTGTGTGGAGACATGTCAACATGATTATTATAGGTTCTTTTAAGTAGTGAGTGGTATGAAAGATGTCAGTAATCGACATTTATTTCACTAATTCACAAAATCCCAGACACTCTTAGAGAAAATAAATATTCTCTGTGCACAGGCAAATTAGAAAAGCGTTAAAGCTGGATTTCATATCTGTTAAGATACAATTTGACGTTCTTTGTACCCCTCTCATATCTGTATTCACGTATATTCACCTATCAAGTGGATTATGGATGGTTATTGTCATGCACTGAGATATGAATTATTTAGACAGCGTTACTGGTCTCCTGTCAAAACAAATAAGTAGAAAACAAGGTAGTGATTTGGGCACGTGTGTATTTGCTGAATAGTCTTGCTCGTTTAGGAGCACGTGGTAATGCCACAGAATAGGATACCGTGACTTTATGTGACAACTGTGAGTAAATTCTTTAATGAGACAGATGACCAGTGTATGAAATGCTAAGACCCTACCTGCTATGCCCATGACAGGAAACCTTGAGATGCTGTGTTTGAGATGTTCATCTTTAGTTGATAACTAATGTTTTTATGTAAGAATTCCCAGAAAATACTCAGAAATCAGACCAGTAAGCAGTTTTGATAGCTCCAATAGCTCCATTAGCTTTAATACAATGAAGAATTGTATCATCATTTCAAAAATGAAGAATAAGGACATCATAAAAAAAAAATCAACCAAACAACTTACCATCCAGATATTTCTCCCACAGAGTATATGATTTACATCACCCCCTGATATATTTCTGTAGATTAAGGTGTATAGTCCTTGTCACAGGCTTCAGCCTTGGAATGAAATTAATTTATACTGACATTTGAATCCAAATTATCTTTTAAAAATTTTTATATGAAGGCTCTTTTAAATTCTCAAGCCAAAATTTTAATTTTTTAATGAAATCTTATATAATATTATGTTTTTTTTAAAAAAAAATCATACTTAGGAAGATTTTCATCTCAAATGTTTGCCCACAAGCTTGCCTCTACTTTAGCAGTTTTAGTTCATCGAGAATTTATTTTCCAATAAGGCAGGAGGTGAGAATAAAGCTTTCCGTTTTTACTCACAGTGAACCATCGGCATGATTTATTAATTCATCCTTTCTCATTGATTTAAATGTCATCTGTATCACATGCATATTTCATCCTTAGACCCAAGTCCACACCTTATGATTATTTTTATTCCATTTATCTGCTCACTTCTGAGCTGGTACCATTCTCCTTTAATCCCTAGAGTTGTGTTAATACAATGTAATATTTCATGAGACAAGAGCCATCATTATTATTCTTTTGAAAAATGGTTTTGGTTTTTAATCTATGGAAACAATGATTTATTTTTATTTTTTATAAACTATGACTTGTGATAATGTGAATTAAAAAAAATAAATCATCTAATGTCTTACACCAGCACAGACTGAACTTAATATTATTCTTTTGCCTTTTGGTTAAATGGCCAAAGATTTGTCTATTTTATTAGTCTTTTCAAAGTCCCAGGGTAGAGTGTGTGTTCCATGTGTATCACAATATGCATTCCTTTGGGACTGCCACATTTATGAAGTGTTTATCAGGACTGTCAGGAACAAATTGCTAATATCATATCTTCAACATGTATCACATCTTCAATACTTATTCATGGGCAGGCAATTCTGACTAGAGTTTCCCCCTGTCCTAGGCTGTAAAAGTTGTCATTACATTCTGAAGACCACAACCTTTCCTTTAGGGACAACAGAGAGAGAAAGAGAGAGAGAGAGAGAGAGAGAGAGAGAGAGAGAGAGAGAGAGAGAGAGAGAGAAGAGAGAATACTAAATTATCACTGAGAAAAATATTTGTTGTCAACCCATTAAGGTCATTTGCCGAATAGCCCAAAGGCATCAGGAGGAGCCTTGCCGCAAAGGTATTGAGGTATCTTTTATTATTTTGACACTAATTCAGATTTTTCGTTGTTATTTGTATGTATAAAACTCCAGTGTCAAAACTTTAAACATTCTGGACCAGTAGGATGATTCAGTGGGGGAGGTTCTTGCCACCAAGCTTTCCCTATGATGTCTCTGCACTGTGATCAGAATTGGAGTGAAGGGTGAAGCTTCATCTCTTTCCTTAGAAGTTTTGGCTTGGCTTCTCCCTAAATTATGAAAAACAAACCCAAACAAAACCTCCAAACCCAAACAATATCTCATTAGGCATAAAAAGGAGGAAAAGACTCAAGGGTTAGGAGGGGGGTGGATATAAGAGAGTGAGTGAGTCAAAACAGACGCCATGCTGGGAAGACGGCTCAGTGGGAAGAGTGATTTCTGTGCAAGCATCATAGCTGAGTTTGGACTCCCAGAGACCCATGCAAATGCCAGCCGGGCATGATGACCTGCCTGCAGTTCCAGCCTTGAAAAGCCAAGACGGGATTCGCCAGAGAAAGCTGGCTAGCAAGACTAGCTATGTTGGCAAGCTCTGGGTTTGGCTGCTTAGCTCCTGCCTCTGTGAATAAGGTGGAAAAAGCAATTAGGCTTGGTTCTTGACATCAGCCTCAGGCCTCGACACACACACACACACACACACACACACACACACACACACACACACATACACGTGCATGCATGGCCACACACATGCATACAACATATACACCAAAAAAAGGGAGAAAAGTAGCTATTGCCTCACCGTGAGTCTTAAGCCACTTTCTTTTAGAAATACGAAGTTATCCACAGTCTAACCATCACCCACAAATGCAGTCAATGATAACTTCAGTCAGATTGCAGATGAATGGGTCATCGGGAGTAAAGGATAAACTCATGAAACCACAGGAATAAGTCACAGGAGAATATTTGCATAGCCTGAAGACAAGGGAGTTTTATCTAATTCCAACATCAATGCTAGACTTGCAAAGTGAAAAGATTGCTAAATATGACTTTATAAACATGACAAATATCTGATTAGGAGAGGGGGGGAAAGAGAGAGGAGAAAGAAGACAGACTGACAGACAGAGAGGAGACAGAGAGAGATATGCTTTGCTCATCCTGATCCATCTCTCACATTCCATCCTGCTCCAGACCCCTCTTAGTGTGTACCTAGATCAACCCAAAAAGTTGCTTCCTGTCAGTGACCTTAGCTGTAAAGGAGGAAGATTGGGGCAGACCGTCTTCAAGTCTTTCTTTGTTTTGCTAGCCTACAATTAGGCATTTGCTAACATGCAGTGTGCATGAGCTTTGCTTTTTTGGTCATCTATTCTTTCAGCAGTTACTTGTTATGACCAACAACAAGGTTCCTCTGTTAACCTTGTAAATGGACACATGGTACACCACCTGACTGTGAGGGACTGGGGCATGAGGATAGGGTGACATCAGCGTGGAACCCATTGCTGGGGATGATGGAGAATAGTTATCCATGTGAGGGAGCAGTGCAGTTGCCTAATGTGTTTGTAAATCTTACTTGGTGTTTTTAGGTGATAGAGACAGAACCCAGAGCCTCATACATATTAAGCACATGCTTTACCATTGTCTATACATTCAGCCTCCCCCAAAGTGACTCTTGGGTAATCTTGAACTGAGTTAGTGTTCTAGCATGCTTCCTATTTCTGATAAAAACACTCTCACCCAAAGCAGCATAAGATTTATTTTGATTACCTTTCCAGAGCACAGCCCAACACTGAATATGAACTGGATATCACATGGTCTTAGGAAATTTTACAATGGGACTAGAGTTGCATAGAAAAATGTTCTTGTCTTCTTGGAGACTCATTCAAATATCATGAGATAGCATGGTGTTTGAAATTTGCTTTAAAATGCTTTGGTGCCAGGGCTAGACGGATGGCTCCATGGTTAAGAGTACATACTGATTTTATAGAGGACCTGAGTTCGGATCTCAGCACTCACAACCAGCAGCTCATCACAACTGCCTGTAACTCTAGCTTCAGGGGATCTAACACCCTCTTCTGGACTCTTAGGGCACCTGCAATCACATATGTGCATGCATATACAAACACATAGACACAAAAAAATTTTTTAAATAAATCTTTTAAAAGCCTTGATAATGTGGAAATATGTCTAAATAGTCCTGATTATAAATCTAGATAAATTTGTTATCTTTACGCTATTTTGAGGTTTTTTCTTAAAGAATGGTTAATAATAGGAGGCACAGACACCACCACCAGCTCTCTCAAGGTCATCCTTTCTCCAGATCACCACATCAGTAAGGCTAGTGTCTGACTTCTTGCGATTCTCTATTGAACTATCACCTCATCAATGAAGCCCTTTAGACCCATCTCATAAATATAGCAACACTTTCTTTATCCCTCTCCCTAATTTCTGAATTCCCAGAATCATTATGTGGGGGTGCATCTATATGTTTGTGCATGTGTGTGAGCATACATATATAACCACATGTATGGGGAAACACACACATATGCACCTATCTGTGTATGTGTGCAGAAACTGTGTCTCCATTTTCTCCTTATTGGAATAAAAGGTGTGGAAGGAATTGGTTTTGGGTTTGTTTGTTTGTTTGTTTGTTTGTTTGTTTGTTTGTTTATGGAAGCCAAGTAGTGTTGGGTAAGTTCTCAATAAATACACAACTGAATTTTAAAACAAAACAAAACAAAAAAGATGTAGAAAAGAAACATCCCAGGAATCCTGGCTTGGCCTGGCAGAAGTAGATAGCCATGTCTGGGAAGGTGAAGGCGGTGGTCAGGCCTGAACTGTTGAGGAGCAGATCTGATGCAGAAGCCCTGCTAGTCCAGAGAATAATGTGGGCCAAAAGATGCCATTTATCTGTTGTCTTCCCTCCTTCCCACAGTCCAAAGTCCTTCGGGAAAAATGGCTGCTGCAGGGTGTTCCTGCGGGAACAGCAGAGGAGGAGGAAGCCAGGAGACGGCAGTCTGAAGAGGATGAGTTCAAAGTCAAGCAGCTTGAAGATAACATTCAGAGGTAGGTGATTCCTAGACTGCAGTAACCACTGCCGGCCATCCTGTAGGGGGCGCTTTCTCCGTGCTTTGACCTTTCCCTGGGGCTGTAGAATTGCCTTCCTCAATGGATACTGATGTTGTCTGACTTTTCCGTGTGAATCAGTGTTATTTCTCATAATACTAATACTGTATTGGTCTGTAATACAGTACGGAAATGCCTTCCCCCACCAATGAGGTATCATAAGCAGTTGCCCTTCTCCAAATACCCTCTTTGGAGATCTCTCATCAGCTTCTTCTTTTTTCTTTGTGGGCCCAGCTGTTGACTGCTGTGGCCACTGTGACAGGTTTCTGCATAGATTTACCACATGTGGTCAATTGAGATGGGAGACTTGTAGCCAAGGCTCTTGGAACTGAGATGAAGAGAGCATAGGAAAGAAAGCGCTGCGTGCCTGAGCTTGGTAGATCAACTTTGCTTGGCCTCCTTGAACTGCTCAGTGTAGCTAGAGTTTTCCTGCCTTGCCCACAGTCAGGACAAATCTCTGTCACCCGCCAGTCCCACAGCTGCTCAGACCCAACCAAGTAAACAGAAACTTATATTGCTTACAAACTGTATGGCCATGGCAGGCTTCTTGCTAACTGTTCTTATATCTTAAATTAA